TACCACCACCTACTGGCAGTTTTAGTTTCTTATTTAGAGTATCATTTCATTAAAGAAATAATTTAATATTTCCATAGTATTAATAATAAAATTAATAAAATAAATTATTAAAGGTTTTGTTTACCCACCCAAAAATTACAATTGTGTTATCATTTACTCACCTTCATGGTCCAAAAGAGTATATGTAATACATTTTATCAAACAAAATATTTCTTGCTGAAGCTACTTTTTGTAATGTCTGTTTGATGCTTTACACAACAATGACGTTAAATGATCTTTTGGGAGTAATTTCTCAGCCAAATCTGATGTGCGACTAATTTGCGATTAATTAGATTAATTAATCGCCACAACATAGTTATAATTGAAGCGTGCCCATCTGCTTTACTTATATTAATGCTTAAATGTGTAAATTAGTTAAAAATAAGTAAACTGATTTATTGTTTATTTTGGCAAATCTGCTTCTTCCACACAGAAATTCATGTTCAGTGAAGCTCCTCACAGCAATCACACATTCAGCAATTCACCAATAAATGCTGCAATATCCCCATCAGTTTACAAGAGAAGACGAGCATCAAAGCATCAGGAAGAAATCTGCGGACAGAGAGAAGATGAGAGATCCAGAACCCTGCAGAATCAAACACACTGAAGATACTGAAGAACTAACAGCTTGGTGTTTATTCTTCATTAATAGTGCTGATGGTTATACATCTTCAAGCTGATTTAGATTTGCTTTAATAGGTAAAATATTTAGAGCTCTGCAATAATATAGCTGAAGCATCAAATAATAAGGCAGACTGCAACCTTTTTTTTGCCCCGACTATTTATTTATTTTTTATTTCTTGCCCAACTAAAAACAACTGCCATTTCTGTAGCATATGAGAAACTTCAAACGGCAAACAAAACAAAAGTTGTGGCAGAAATAGTCAAATGTTATTACCTCATTCATTTCAGGCTTTGTACAACCTTTTTAGAGAGAAATTCAAGCACTTTTCAGTGACAGCACAACTATTTACAGCACTTTAAAGCTCTAAATATGATCCAGTTTAAATGGTACTTTTAATAGGATAACCAAATACATTTTGTGGTATTCAAACAATTATAAAAAATAAAAAAAATACATCAAATTACCACTATAACCAGTAGATGGCAACAGAGGAGCACTTATTGGCTATTAGTCATTCATTTTTACGTTTTGCTTTTTTATAAAATGTACTATTATAAAATATAAAATAATCAACACAACAATGACTTTAAATTATCTTTTGAGAGTAATTTCTCAGCCAGATTTGATGTGTGATTAATTTGCGATTAATTAGATTAATTAATCGCCACATCATATAATAAATTAGATTACAATTTTTAATCGCTTACCAGCCCTAATTTATACATGTACATTGGAAGCTTCATTACAAAAAAAAAAAAAAAAACTCCTTGTGCGTTCAAGCACACTTGGCAATAAATATATCTTTTTATACATTTAATCTGCAGTTAACTTGTAAAAATCAATCTTCTTAATTTGCACTATTTAGTCATTTTAAAAAATTCTTTATGTGCAAGTGCAACATCTCTATAGTAGGCAGCCAGCTTTTGTTTGCTGTTTGCTTTCAAAAATCCTTTAAATAATGCAAATCTCCATGCCAGTCCATTTCCCAGAAGCCTTATGTTTCATTACCACACATACAAAACTAAGTCTTTCTTTTTAATAATTGCACTTCTTTTTCCCTGTAGCCTATCTGTCTCTGAAGAAAATCAATAGCCACTTGATCTCCTAAGTGCAAAGCTTGAACGATGATTATCTACTGCACTCCAGCGAGGTTGAAACTGCTCGCTGGCTAAGCAGTATTTGTTTTGAAAGTTAACCTAATACATGCTACTCAAGAAAATAGTCAACAATAAATCAAAAATATGAAATATGTAGACAAATATCTCGACTGAATTCACTAGAGGTGTCGTGACTTTTGCAAATAGGCGCTTTAGCCGATTGCAATTGTCTGATACAACAGACAATTCAGACAATTCTGATACAACTTGTCACCCATCTAGTGGGTGACAAGTGTAATTATATCTACTGTCATTTTACTTCATGGACTCGGACCCTTAAAAATGTAACACATTTCCTGTTCATGAAATCATGATAAGAAATGTTTCCGTTAAAAGTTATGAAACCTTCCTGAAGCTCTTGAAATCTTAACAAACTGCAAAGGCAAGTTTATTTAATATCAGAGTTTTGCTACACCAACATGAGCATGAAAGACAATCTGAATACTGATTGTACGAGAGGTTTGTTTGTTTTTTTTTATTTTTGTTTGTTTTTTATACAGATTTTTACTTGTATTATTTTTAATATTTTCGTTGTTACTTATTGTAACACATTTTAAATTATAATTTAAATTAGGAATTATAAGGATGACATCGACTCCTCCATCCCCTCACAACCGGAGCAGGAGTGAGGATGAGGATGATCTCCAGGACAGGCTGTGCTGAGCTGCACTACGCTCTTCAGGACTGTATGGCTGAGCATCAGGACTGGAGGAAGTGTCAGACTGAGGTTCAGAAGTTTAAGGAGTGAATGACCACCTACCAGAACACTCGCAAAGAGCAGCTCCTGAAGCAAAGGACTTCCGCCACACAATCTGCCTGACACACTCTGAGACAGTGCTGCACAATAAAACATCCCTCTCACTTTCCTGAAAAAGGTGTAGTGTGAAGATTGTCTTTCAAGAATGCATTGAAATTTTTCATTATTCATGAAAGGTGTGCTTGTGCAGTTCGTTTTAATGTATGTTTATATTTAAAAAAATGTTGTACAGTTACAAGAAGAACGCCAAACAGAAGCTTTGTCACTAGCTAGTGGACAGTAGTTTTACTAAAAAAATAAAACCCCCCAAAAAAACATGGTTATAGTTAAACCATGGTAAACACAAATTAAGCATGGTTTTGCTACACTAACCATAGTTTAACCATGGTATTTGTAGTAAAACTGGTTATACAAATGGTAATCAATATGGCAAAAAAAAAATATGGTTACTACACTTTTACTATAATAAAACCATGGTTAATTTCCGTAAGATTAGTATGTTACAAATACAAATGTAATGAGCACTACACAAACACCAGTTGTTGTTTTTTTTTACGTTTTACACAATGTTTTTTCTAATATGTGTAGTTCTGTCTTCATGATTAAGTACTTTGGTCTATTAGAAGCTTTATTTTGTCTTTTTACCTTTTTTTTTTTAAACACGGTGACCATTTGAAGGCTGCAACAACACTTGTTAACTCACATTTTATGTGTTTCTGTTGAGCTCTGGTGCTCCCTGTAGACTGGTTACCACTTCCTCTGCAAACATCTTCTCTAAATGCCACCTGAGGATTGAATGGCTAGTTGTTCTTATGGCTAGGCAGTTCTTTTATGGATTGCATGACCTCCTCTGTCTTTAGAGTGTATATGATGGGATTCGGCATAGGGGGTATTATTTGTGTCAGGGAATTGTTAATTATCCGCGCGTTTGGATCAATAGATGTTGAGATGGATTTAACATTTACACTTAAAATTGGGAGATAAAAAATTGCCACTAACATAAAATGTGAGGTGCAGGTTTTTATGGCTTTGATGCGATCAGCACCCTGAGCAATCTTAAGCAATGCTGCAGCAATGAAAAAATATGAGAGGGTTATCACTATCACCGGCAAGCAAATTAGGAGACCAAATAAAATATATGCCATGAGATAATTTATGGAATTACTGTTACAGGAAAGACTGATGATGGGGCCGTGATCACAGAAATAGCTATTGCCTATTGACAACAGTAGATCTACAAAAAGAGAGTCTGTTGACTAATCCCACAAGTACAGCAAATAAAGTCATGGAAAAAATCCACATACCACCTATAATGAGTAACATGGATTTTCGTAATAATTGCATGATACTGTAGAGCAGGGGTGTCCAACCCTGGTCCTGGAGGGCTACCGTCCTGCAGATTTTAGCTCCCACCCGAATCAAACACACCTGAACCAGCTAATCATGGTGTTCAGGGCTGCTTGATAATTACAGACAGGTGTGTTGGAGCTGAAATCTGCAGGACGGTAGCCCTTTTCTTGAATCTTGAATCTTGAATCTTGAATCCTCCAGGACCAGGGTTGGACACCCCTGCTGTAGAGGAAAACAAATAGCAACCAGTCTGTCATAAGCCAAGGCAAGCAGTGTCAAAGACTGAACGTTCATGAAATTAAACACAAAAAAACATATTCATCAAGCAAGCTTCATATGAAATGAGCTGGTGCTCAAATAAAAACATGTCTATGAGTTTTGGAATCAAAGCCAATCTTCCACACAGATCAGAAAGGGCCAGATTAAAGACTGCAATGTATTTGGCTGTGTGAAGTCTGCGGGCCAGATACATGGTACACATGAATTAATTCCCCAAAACGGTCACGCATATACAAAACACAAAAACACATAGTAGTATTTTGCATGTGGAATATTAGAAAAGCTATTGATGAAGAATGTTGCAGGACGAACAAAGGTCACATTTGCAGAGTTTGAATGTATTGAAGTCAAGCCCATTGTGATGATTGTTGTGTTATCTGTGATAAAGAACTGTTTTTAGATATGCACTCAATAACAGACTATCAAAATAATGATTTCAGTGTATTTGTCAATATTGCTTGGCACTATGATTCATTGCATACCTCTCAGCCTTCCTAAACAGTTATTCTGAATAAATACAGTACAGCGTGTCTAAATATTACAATACAATTTAATATGGTAAGGATTTTTATATTTAGTTTGCATGAAATTTAAACATAAAATCAAACTGGCACAAGATTAAAGATGCTGCACTTGCAATTTATACTTCAAGTCACACAAAACAAACACTTTCACATTTAGTCATTCTAAAATTATTTTAAAGAATTCCATACAAAAATCACACTGCTACTGTCATTATAACTGGAACACAGTAGGTATACTAGATGAAAACATGATTCTTTTTTTATTATTATTATTTTTTGATAAGCCTTTTCACAGACGTCATGAAGTCCTTTGTCATGAAAGTGTAGATTATAAGGTTAAGCACTGAAGCAAGCACAGATGTCAGAGAAAGAATAATTATTGTAGTGTTGGTGCTTAAAAGGACCCGAAAAACATACGTTAAGCAGATGGGCACATAAAATACAGCCACTACTATTAAATGAGCAGTACATGTCTTTGTGGCTCTTTGACGGTCATGTGGGGTTGTGATTCTAAACAATGTTACAGCTATAGTACAAAAAACTGGAAACATAATGATCACCTGAAACAGAACATGCATGCTAACACAGCTTGGGAAATTTGACCCGCAATCACAGAAATGAATGATTATGACACTAGTTCTACAAAAAGAATGTCTGCTCATGATTGTGTGCATTAGTGCTAGCATCCATGAAGCAACAATTATAACAAGCATTGATGTGTTGGTCACAATCATATGATACCTCAGTGGTAAACAAATAGCTACTAATCTGTCAAAAGACAGAACAGTGAGAGTTAGTGAATGCACTGAAACAAATAACATATCGGAGAGTATATTACACAAGCACAATCCATACGGGATCAACTGACTCCCAAACAAAAATGCATCCAGTTGCTGAGGGATTTTAGTAATACTCTCACAAATGTCTGTCAGTGATAAATTAAAGACAGGGATATATTTAGGAGTGTGAAGATTTCGGTCCGTAATGATAACAAACGTGAGGCAGGAGTTTCCTAAAAAAGAAATAAAGTAGGCAATAAAGAGGAATATATAATAGTATCTCATGTGAGGCATAACAGAGAATCCAGCAGACAGGAAGGAAATATTCCTGCTTCCAGTGACCTCTTGAATCATCTTTTTTTTCATCCTGTCTGGGCAGAAAAGCAGCATGCAAAAAGGTTGAAATTTGATACAATATTAATGTTAATGAATAATTAATATGATATACTCACAGTAATGTCTTAGGGACTGGACAAAGTCCCGCACTGGACAAAGCAGCCAAAATGCTTGCAGCACTACAGGACCCGGCGAAAAAGTGGGCACCTTAGGGACATACCCGGGTCTCGGGTAAAGGAACGCCCTAACCATGCCCTGGGCAAACTCCAGGCACGATACAGCGAGTACCTGAAGATCCCCTATCCTCTTCAGTGGGGATATGGCGAGTAAGAAGATCGTCTTCAGTGCGAGAAGCTTGTCAGAGATATCTTCAATTGGTTCGGAAGGAGCATTGCACAAAGCCTCCAGAACCACCGCCAGGTCTCATGAGGGCACCTTGGTGCGCTGTACTGGCCTTAGCCTCCAAGTGCCACGGAGGAAACGTGTAACTAACAGGTGTCTTCCCAATGACTGACCATCTAGAAGGGCGTGGTAAGCAGCTATGGCCTCCACGTATACCTTCAGAGTGGAGGGAGATAACCCTGCAGAGAAATGCTCCTGCAGAAACTCCAGAACTGTACCAACTGGGCAGTTGACTGGGTCTTGCAATCGCTGTCCACACCAAGAAGTGAAAAGTTTCCACTTCAAGGCATACAGTTTCCTCGTGACGGGAGCTCTGGACTGGAGTATGGTCTCAACAACCTCAGTAGAGAGACTGGATGCTAGGTGCTGTGCCCCATCAGGGGCCATGCCACAGTTTCCATAACTACAGGCGGGGGTGAAGGATGGTGCCCCCCGCCTGAAAGAGGAGATCCCTCCTGATCAGAATCTCCAGCGGGGAGCCGTTGAGGAGGGACACAAGGTCCGAGAACCATACTCGGGCCGGCCAGAACAGGGCTACTAACAGAAAATGGACCCTGTCCCGGCATACTCTCTCCAGAACTCCCGGGAGCAGAGCGATCAAGGGAAAAGCGTACAGACGATGCCTCGGCCACGTCTGCACCATGGCGTCCAGCCCAAGTGGAGCTGGATGTGTGAGGGAGAACCAGAGTGGACAATGTGTCGTTTCCTGCGACGCAAATAGATCCACTTCCGCCAGGCCGAACTCCCTCCATAGGAGCTCCACCATCTCTGGGTGGAGTCTCCATTCCCCGGGCCTCAGCCCCTGTCTCGACAGGATGTCTGCTCCCTGATTGAGGTGCCCAGGGATGTAGACTGCTCTGATTGAGAGGAGCTTTCTCTGAGCCCACAGGAGGATCTGGTGCGCTAGCCTGTAAAGGGGGCGCGAGCGCAGACTCCCCTGCCGGTTGATGTAGGAGACCACCAATGTGTTGTCTGTGTGGACAAGCACATGATATCCCCTTAGGTCTGGAAGGAAGTGCTTTAGAGGTCGAAACAGGGCCAGCATCTCAAGGCAGTTTATGTGCCACGTGAGATGATGGCCTTCCTAGCGACCTTGGGCAGACCACTCCCCAGCCCGTGAGGGAGGCGTCCGTCGTTAGCGTTACGCAAGGACAAGGAGCCCCCAATATCGGGCCTTGAGACAGGAACCAAGGTTTCTTCCACATGTCTAAGGCAAAGTAAGCATCGCCGCGTGACCTTGATCGTGCAAAGCGGGTTCCCTCTCGGGGAAAACCCCTTGGTCCTGAGCCACCACTGCAATGGTCTCATGTACAGCAGGCCAAAAGGTATCACATTGGTTGCAGCTGCCATCAGACCCAACAGTCTCTGAAACAGTTTGACAGTAAGTGACTGGTCTTCTCTCACTCCCCTCACGGCTGTGAGAATCGCTTCGATACGAGAAGGAGACAACTGTGCCTGCATCCTTGTTGAATCCCACACCACGCCCAGATAAGTGGTCCTCTGTAGTGGAGAAAGCACACTTTTCTTGTCGTTAAGCCGTATCCCCAGCTCTTTTATATGGGCGATGACGACATCTTGATGCCGAACCGCCATCTGCTCTGACTGAGCTAATATCAACCAATCGTCGATGTAATTCAGTATGCAGATGCGATGGAGTTGCAACGGAGCCAGGGCAGCATCCACACATTTGGTAAAAGCGCGGGGTGAGAGTGACGTCCGGATGGAAGAACCCGATACTGGTATGCTTCGCCCCCGAAAGCAAACCTCAGGAACCTCCTGAGCTGAGGAAGGATGGATACATGGAAGTAAGCATCCTTGAGATCTATCGTAACAAACCAGTCCTCGGACCTGATTTGAGACACAATCTGTTTGATAGTGAGCATCTTGAACCAAAACTGTTTTATAGTGCGTTTCAAAAGATGCAGATCTGTGATCGGACGCAACCCTCCATCCTTCTTCGGAACGATAAAGTAATGGCTGTAGAACCCTGACTCTCTCTCGAGGAGAGGAGGAGAAACACATTGAATGGCCTCCTTCCTCAAGAGAGTCTACTTCCTGTTCCAATACCAGTGCCTGCTCGGGGCCTACTAATATAGGAATGACCCCGTTGAAGCGAGGTGGACGAGAACCGAACTGAATTCTGTACTCTCTCTCTACAGTGTGCAGGACCCATAGTGAGACATTCGGCAGAAGTTTCCACGCTGTCAGAAAGTCTACTAAAGGAACCAGTCTCTCGAGACTGGCCTCTGGTGTCGCTAAAGGAGCCACTTCGGTGCCCTGAAGCAGATGACCGGCAGGGAACAACCGACCTGACTGCTCTAGCAACCTCACATGAGGGGACGAGCTTTCCGGTGCTGTACCGAAATTCGCTTGTCGGAGCTCATTGAGCCCTTAAGCACCTGGGGTGGCAGGGGTATCAGTGAAGCTCCCTGAGGGCACTTAGGAGGATCGGGCACCATATACCGAGGTGTGTACCTCCCCAGGGTGGGCTGCCCTCGGGGTCCTGATGGTGTAATTGTCAGGACCGCTTGGCCGAGGTCCTCTTTGACAGAATAACAATCCGCAGATCCGCTTTCTGTTTAGAGGAGCCCGACCGAGAGTGCCGCCCCGCCCCCTATTCTTTCCGCGGGGGAGTACGGGTTGCGACGCTCTGTTTCTGGGTCTGGCGATATGAGGAGCTGGACGGCTGGGACTGCTCCCGATCAGCAGTCCCAAAGACCTTGGAACGGTGAGAGAGGAAGCGCTGGAATGCCTCCGGCTGCTTCTTCGCCTCCTAAAACCTCTCAACAACAGTGTCTATTGCGCCGCCGAAGAGGCCAGAAGGTGATAGCAGGGCATCCAGCAGGAAGAATTTGTCCTTATCTTTTAACTCGAACAGATTCAACCACAGGTGCCGCTCCTTGGCCATCAATGCTGCCATTGAACGGCTGATGGCTCTGGCCATTTCTTTGGTGCCCCGAAGCAACAGGTCTGTGGCTCGACGCAGTTCGGTGACTACATCGGATTCCTCTTCCTCCCTTTCGTCCAGGTCTTTTAGCAGGTCGGACTGGTACGCCTGTAACACTGCCATAGTGTGCAGACACGCACCGGCCTGACCTGTCGCCGTATAAGCTTTCCCAACCAGGCTGGATGTCAGTCTTACTGGCCTGGTGGGAAGCTTCGGGGCCTTCAGGGACGATGCTGAAGACGGGGAGAGATAGCTCGCAAGCGTCTGCTCCACCGCCGGCATCGCCCCATATCCCTTCTCATTCAGCCCCGTGATGTTAGAATAATTCAAGACAGTGGGGTTGAAAAGTCAGGATGAATACGGTTTCTCCTACGATCTCAATACCTCAGCATGGAGATCAGGGAAAAACGGAAGGCCCCGTCGTGAAGGCTGTGATTTTATTCCTAGAAAACACTCGTCCAATTTGCTCGGCTGGCCACTTGATATTTAATTTGGCTACAGCGCGAGTCACAACCTCCACGAGCTCCTCATATGCGAGGGACTGTGGTGGCTAGTCCACAGTCTTCTCCGTGTTGATGCTCATCACATCAATCTTCTCAGAAGAAGACAGATGAAGCGTCTGGCTCTATCTCCGGGTGGAAGAAACCGCGAGGTGGGCTTCCGATCCATGAGAGGGAGCCATAGATCTAGCGGGTGAGGACCGAGATAAGGACGAGCCCGTCTCGGATCCCTCCGCTAAATCCACTTGCGATCCCCACGATAACAGCTGCCGCAACAGCGGGGCCGGACCCAGCAGTATTGTGAACCTGGCCGAAAACAGCCAGGCGGGAGCAGAGCACACGGAGCGGGAGAAGCTCACAATCATGACAGTCAGCCCCCTCGAGAGCTGACCGTGCATGCTCCACTCCCAAACAGATGACGCACAAATCGTGTGTATCCCCACCCGAGATATAGCGTGGGCAGGGAGGAACACATGACTTGAAACGCTGTCTGCTTCTTTTTCTTTTTCTTCTTTCCCTTCTTATTTGATATTGACTGAGTGCTTTGTTCACATATACACACACACACACACACATACGCGCTTGCTGAAGAGCAGAAGCTAACATGTGCATTTGTCGGATGCGCTTTTATACTTCCTGGTTGCTCATGTCACCCCACTCGTGACATCTCACTTCTCTATTGGACTGATTTCATACATGCTTCAGTAAGTGGTCTCACCAGGGCATTCCCAAAGCGTTGCAATGCAGCTCGAGTTCCTGAAGGGGAACTGCTGATCTTCAAAGAACAGTCATCAATAAGGTAACTTGCAAACATAACGAGTTTTTGAATACCATTCAATTACCCAAGTTATCATATATTTTATTCAGTTACTAAATTTGGAAGATAGCATTTTTACTAGCTTTGATTTTTTCCTATTCTTAATGAAGTTTATTTTGACAAAGTTTGGGAGAAGCATTTTCAGATAATCCAACCAATGAGCATCAGAGGAAGTCTCTATATCACTGCTTCCCCTTCAGAAACTCGAGCTGCATCAAAACGCTATGGGAATGCCTTCAGCGTGGTCACGCTCTGAATCACGTGTGTAATCAGTCCAATGGATGGACGAGACGTCACAGGCGGGGTGATGTAGTGACCAGGACGCTTAAAAGCATGTGCGGTGGATACAGCGGCAGCTTTTCTGTCATTCAGCAAGTGCTCTGTGTGTGTGTCAGTCGCTATCTGTTGTGAGTCTTATTTAGTGTTGTTTTTCCACTTATAAGCTCCATTTTGTCAAAGCTTCAGTCAAAAGAAGCATTTGGGCGAGAGCAGGCAGCATTCAGGCTCTGTGTTCCTCCCTGCCCTCGCTATATTTCGGGCAGTTTGTGTGTTGTCTGCTTGGGAGCGAAGCATGCAAAGTCAGCTCTTGAGGGAGCTGACCACCCGCATTGCGAGCATTTGTTACTGCCTTGCTTCGCTCTCAGAAGGCTCTCTTTGAGGAGAGAGCCTTCACTAGCATTTCTCGCGGTGCCGGCCCTGCTTTCACCGAGGCGGAGCGGCGGCTGTGCTCGTGGGGTTCGCATATGGATCCGGTGGAGGGAATGTAGACGGGCGAGTCCCTATCTTCTTCGTCACCCACCAGATCCAGCGCCCGCTCTCGGGGATCAGAAGCCTACGCTGCCGACGCTCTGTTTCTGGGTCTGGCGATATGAGGAGCTGGACGGCTGGGACTGCTCCCGATCAGCAGTCCCAAAGACCTTGGAACGGTGAGAGAGGAAGCGCTGGAATGCCTCCGGCTGCTTCTTCGCCTCCTAAAACCTCTCAACAACAGTGTCTATTGCGCCGCCGAAGAGGCCAGAAGGTGATAGCAGGGCATCCAGCAGGAAGAATTTGTCCTTATCTTTTAACTCGAACAGATTCAACCACAGGTGCCGCTCCTTGGCCATCAATGCTGCCATTGAACGGCTGATGGCTCTGGCCATTTCTTTGGTGCCCCGAAGCAACAGGTCTGTGGCTCGACGCAGTTCGGTGACTACATCGGATTCCTCTTCCTCCCTTTCGTCCAGGTCTTTTAGCAGGTCGGACTGGTACGCCTGTAACACTGCCATAGTGTGCAGACACGCACCGGCCTGACCTGTCGCCGTATAAGCTTTCCCAACCAGGCTGGATGTCAGTCTTACTGGCCTGGTGGGAAGCTTCGGGGCCTTCAGGGACGATGCTGAAGACGGGGAGAGATAGCTCGCAAGCGTCTGCTCCACCGCCGGCATCGCCCCATATCCCTTCTCATTCAGCCCCGTGATGTTAGAATAATTCAAGACAGTGGGGTTGAAAAGTCAGGATGAATACGGTTTCTCCTACGATCTCAATACCTCAGCATGGAGATCAGGGAAAAACGGAAGGCCCCGTCGTGAAGGCTGTGATTTTATTCCTAGAAAACACTCGTCCAATTTGCTCGGCTGGCCACTTGATATTTAATTTGGCTACAGCGCGAGTCACAACCTCCACGAGCTCCTCATATGCGAGGGACTGTGGTGGCTAGTCCACAGTCTTCTCCGTGTTGATGCTCATCACATCAATCTTCTCAGAAGAAGACAGATGAAGCGTCTGGCTCTATCTCCGGGTGGAAGAAACCGCGAGGTGGGCTTCCGATCCATGAGAGGGAGCCATAGATCTAGCGGGTGAGGACCGAGATAAGGACGAGCCCGTCTCGGATCCCTCCGCTAAATCCACTTGCGATCCCCACGATAACAGCTGCCGCAACAGCGGGGCCGGACCCAGCAGTATTGTGAACCTGGCCGAAAACAGCCAGGCGGGAGCAGAGCACACGGAGCGGGAGAAGCTCACAATCATGACAGTCAGCCCCCTCGAGAGCTGACCGTGCATGCTCCACTCCCAAACAGATGACGCACAAATCGTGTGTATCCCCACCCGAGATATAGCATGGGCAGGGAGGAACACACGACTTGAAATGCCGTCCGCTCGCCACTGATTTAGCTTTTGAGTTTGGCATTATTACTTTCTTTCTTTTTGCTTTCTAAACTGAGTGCTTGTAACACACACACACACACACACACACACATAGACAGACAGATGCACTCGCTGAAGAGCAGAAGCTAACATGTGCGTTTGCCGGATGTGCTTTTATATTTCCTGGTTGCTCATGTCACCCCGCTCGTGACGTCTCGCTTCTCTATTGGACCGATTTCATACATGCTTCAGTACGTTGTCTCGGTGGGGCGTTCCCAAAGCATTTTGACGCAGCTGGAGTTCCTGAAGGGGAACTCATTTTGAGAAAAATGCCTTTAAAGATATGTATTTTAACAGAAATCTACAGACATAAATAGATAACGTGTATTAAAATAAACATCTAAACGTGTGTTTTGGTTGTTTCTTTCTTCTAGTCTGAAACATCATGTTATGAAAAGCCATATTTGGGCAAACAGCCGAAAATATCAAAATTGACCAGTGCATGAAAAAAAATGTTTGCCTGTAATGTTTTGCCTTCATCAACCAATGAATATGCAGAAGGTATTGGACTTATTTTAAGATACTTTAAGATACTTCCTATCCTTTTGAATCTTGACAGGCCTAGTTACAATGCCTTTGTTGTTATTATATTTTAGAAATGTCAAAAGTGTGACTCTTTCTACCTTTACAGCCATTAAAAATATTTATTCAAAAAATATGCATTGTATAATATGGTTGCCACATCGATCTATTGGCAAAACAAAAAACTGTCCACAGCAAGTCACAATTAGCTCAACCCATCATCCAGCACAACACTTGCTTTTGCCACTAGAGGACACACTAGAATCAGTTTTTGTTTTCCCCCTAATCAAACAGCAGTACTTCTTTTATTCTCAGTGTCCTTTT